TGGCGTGTTTAAGTGGCCCTTTGGCAATTGCGACTGTTTTGGACACGCGTGTGTGTTTGAGTGCAAATCTGTCAAGGGTCTTCTGGTCGGCGAGTCGCAAACAGCTGCCTGTGCGAAGTCGCTTGACATTTAGACAGGGGACATTGAACAAAATGGGCGGATATTATTGTGGGTTATCCGCCACAAAGTCAGTTACGGGTCTCCAGCTCAGCGAGTCAAAACAGTTGCCTCTTGAAGCCGCGGGTATTGAAGAAGGGGGGAGGGGAGGGCGGACCGCATTGTTTGGGGAAGGGAACACTCGTATGTAGTTCAGACAGAATTTCACCGGAGATGGACGTGGAGAATTGCAAAAATTGTTCAGTCGAAGATAACAAACGTCGTTACGCGACGAGTCCTTTCTTTTTTTGTGGAGACCGTTGTTGGACGGGAAGGTGCGTCTCAGATCGTGGACCATGAGATTCCGATATTTGTGAGAACAATCACCAGTCTCCTCGTATACAGCAGTTAGAGGGTTCAACGTGGCCGGGAAGTCTTATTTGATTGTGTACAACATTATTCATACATTAACACCATAGCTTATAATCTTTTAATAGCTAATTCACCTGCTGCTTAACACCCAACGGTTTGATCCATCATCCCTTGTTTGCCGAGCCTCTGGGCATGTTTATTACATACTTCGTATCCGCGGTCTCATTATCCGCCATTGGTTTACATGTTAGACAATTTAACTTTCAGGCAGACCAGTCTCTTTAGGGTTTCTGTCGCCCAGCCCTCCCGGAGGCGGTTCTTTTCGTTCGTTCCGCTGCTTGAACGCCGTCTTGTCACATTCAGTTACAGATAGCGTACCTTTGGTACAGTTAAGTGGGGGTGTCGCGCGCACTCGGTTGAGCTGCACGATAACCACTGTTCCAGTCTCATGTATGCAATCTCCCCAACCCAGACGACATTTTGATTAACATTTCATTAGACTCGAGCCGTATCTACGGTAGTCTGGCACATCGTAATTGGGCACCG